GTCCGGTCAGCTACCGTCTTCGATGGTGGAGGTATGGCCCTCCCGCGTGCCGACGATGCTGCTGCCCTAGTCCCGGCTCCTCTTCTTCCTTGTGCGGACCATGCTTCACGGTACCGTGGTGAGACGGCGTGGGAAGCTTCGTGACCGGGTTGGCGCAGGGTGAGGGTCTGTTTGGTGGCGAGCTCTGGAGTGTCTGAGGTGGAGGTTGCGATCGGGAGAAATCCCTGTTGGCTTGGCCGACACCGACGCGATGGCGCTTGTGGGTACCGCCGGACCTTTCTGAAGGGCGTCGGAGCTACCTTTCCTCTCTCCTCACGGCGTATCGGGGGAAACTCTTGACAGCAGTGTCGTCATCGCCGCGTCCCTTCTTGAAGGTGTTGATTGGTATCGGTGCTTTGATGGCTCGGAGCTTGGTGGACGATCTTCGGTGGATACAACGTCCACGAGGCTTCTTCTTCGCTTTTGTCGATTCGTCGTTGTTAGCATTTGTTTCTCTCGTATTTTCTTTTTCTTTTTTTTTTTGAATGTGACTGTGTTGTTTTCGTCTTAGCACTTATCATTTGATGTATCGGTTAGTTGCTTTACATACAAAGTGGAGAAAACCTTTTTTATAATGTAGTATATTAAAATTTTTAAAAAGACTTGTATTTAGAAATGAAGGGAGTATGTTTTTATGTTCTCCCAGGGCCGAGAAATTTGGGCGCTGCGCTGGAATATTTGGAACGCACGGTTGGAACATGAATTCCAGAAGAAAAACGGAGCACCGCGAACCCAAAACATACATGTAATGGCGACGATTGTGGCTCTAGGATGTTGGTCTTTATAGCATCTCTAACTGTGCTCTTAGGAAAATCTCGTCAGACGATTTTTTCATGTCGGTGGCGAAAAACCGATCCAGTCGTGTCTTCAGGAGGTCAATTTTCACCGGCCTGAACCGAAATCAGTGTTGACGGACCCAGACCGAACCCGGCGCGCTGGGGGGCACCCGGGGACACCGGGGAGAGCGGTTTTGGCGCGAAAAAGTCGCGGGCCAGCCGCGTCAGCGACACCGCCCTCGTCTTCCCCCGACGCCTCGGTTTCTCGCGGGGAATCAACGACAAGGCTGCCGCCGGTCAGCGTTGATATTCCTCACGGGCGGCGCGTCACGGGGCGACGCGCCGACGCCTCCCCTCCCTCGCACGCGTACACACGGGCGCGACGCGGCTATATAAGCCGGTGGCCTCCCTCGCCTCTGGCCACACCAGCCCCAGCCGCCGAACTCTCTCTCTCGTGCGCCGCCGCCGAGCCTCCCTCTCCTTCTTCCGCACGTACGCCGCCGAGCCCTCCCTCTCCTCTCCCGATGTCCGAGCATTACCCCGGCGACGAGGCGGTGGCCAACGGCTTCGACCGCCGCTCGCTCCGCGAACAGGAGTCGTGGCTCCTGTTCCAGGCCAACATCCCGGCGCCGCCGGACATGCGCGTCGGGCCGACGGGGTGGAGGCTAGCAACGGGGGAGTGCCCATTCCCCCGTTGCCCGACACCGTGGCGTGCCCGCGCTACTTCGCCGACGAGGTGGAGATCGTGCGCGCCTCCCTCACCGAGGAGCAGCGCGCCCTTCCCCAATACGCCGCCGACAACCACACGGTGTGGGCGGCGTACTTCGAGCGCCGCCAGCAACAGAGGCTGGCGTCCACCAACGGGGCGCTGGTGGTCGGCGGCACGAAGAACGGCGAGGGGCGCCACCTGTGGTGGGGCGTCCCCGGCCACACGCTCGAGGGCGGCAACAACCCGCCGCTGGCCTACCCTTCCCTGGCGAGGGCGGCCGCCCCGTCTCACCGCCGACGCGTCGGGCAATGGATGCCCAGGAGGTTCGGCTCCTCCTCGTCGTCCTTCTCCCACTCCTCTGGCTCTCCGGCGCTGCTCGGCGTCAAGGCCGAGCCCGCGGCGGAGACGCCGCTTGGCCGGCGCACGCGCAGCGCCGGCATCGTCATCAACGAGGGTGGTCGGCGCGCCTTCTCGTCGGCTCCTCCACGCTTCGTCAAGCCAAAGACGGAGCCGGGGCTCGCGCCGGTGAAGACGGAGCCGGGTCTTCCCGCCGTGAAGACGGAGCACGGCGACGCAGAGCTCGACGACGACACGGCCCTGGAATGGGCGCGCAAGGACTCCCTGAAGATGGCGAGGGAGCGCAAGCGTGCTGCCCTGGCGCGGTTCGAGCAACGCCGCCGGGGCCGTGACGAAGGAGGAGTCGTCGTCATCGAGGACAGCGACGACGACGACGCGCCGCCGCCACCGGTCCGCATTGGGGACGCCGGTCAGGGATCCACCAGGGACGGCCGCGTCAAGGAGGAGAAGCCCGACAACGACGGCGGCGGCGACGACGGCAACTACTTGGCGTTCAACGACTTTCTGTTTTAGTTATATTTGCTATGTACCGCCGAACATTTTAATATATGCCGAATTTGGCTGAAATTTAGCCGTGTTCAAACGAATTCGCCGAATGTTTTTTTTAAATATGCGCATCTGGGGGCGGCCCTGGGGCCGGCGACTGGGGACCAACTCGCCCCCAGGCCCTTTTTTTGCGCCGGCTCGCCCTCAGGAGGCGATTTCAGGCGCCCCCTAGGGGGCCAACGGCTGGAGATGCTCTAAGGGGCACGAACACATGAACTTCCCCACTGTCATTGAAAGGGTCTAATACGGTTCTAGCACATGAGCGGCTCGTTCTGGCGACAGTAATGGTATTTTGATAAACTTTAATAATAGATTTGATACTTATCGCAAAATATATTTTTTCAAACCCATTTCAGCAAGCTGGAAATTAACAATTTCGGTGCCTATGGTTCCGCCCCTAGCTACAAATCCACGGCCTCGTAGCGTCAGCGTCGATTCCAGCTAATCAATGGCGGCTTTCCACTGGCATCATCAGGCAATGCACATGATCTTAGACCAGCTTAGTAGTATAGTAGGCACACAAAGCAGCCGTGACCAAGACCACCATCTCCGGCAGAGAAAAAAACAAGCGCAAAAAAACGAAAGCAGAAAGGAGAGGCAGGCAACACCTGCCAGCCGAGTGCCGTTGGCCCATCTCAGCATAAACATACCCTCACCTCATGGGCGCAAACATCAGATGGGTGGAGATAATGTTCTAAACTGCAAGTCAAAAAATACTACATGCAGACGATAATGCTTTAATATGAACTGGTGGTTGTGGGGCAAAGAGGCCAACATGGATTAGTGGCCATCCGGAGGAGGCAAAGATTAAGGCCTAATGATGCATCACAGCCGATTTGGCAACATGCTAATCATGCGGAGCACGTAATCGTTAGGTCTTGATGCCCTTTCAGGAAAGAGTGTGACAAATTTGGTGATGGGTGATGACATGAGCCTCAGCGGCATAAACAAGTCATATAAATTAAATAGAGACGAAAGCATCGAGTAGGAAATAGGTGTGACAACATAACAATATGATTCATTATGCTGTAGATTACTTACTGACGCAGCACCACAACAGGGTGACAGTGTTGGCGGCCTTGGCTTGGAGGCAGGGTGGAAAGCGACACCAAACCAAGAAGGCAAGGTCACTTATTTTTAATCCCGTTCATGGTATTATTCAACTTATTATATACTTCCTGTATGCCAACTCAAAAAAATACATATGAATTAAACATGGCTAAACAAAAGGATCATGCTTCAGGATTGGGTTTGTCAAAGCTAATAAAATTAATATGTATGAGCAAGTATGTAGTTGCTTATTTTGATCGTTTCTCATATCTTTTCTTATCATAAACTATATCACATCAATTTTTTTTTCATTTATTTATGGTCGAGGCTAAAGGCCCAAGGGGTGTAAGATTTTCTACATCCTACGCCTCCAGTATAGGGCTTTCTATCCCAAACTCTTCAAACATGAAGCTGAAAAATGAGGGTAAGAAACTCAAAGTTGAAAAAAACATGATTAATCACATAGTCCCTCTATATCTAAATATAAGACGTTTTTGCAGTTCAATTTTTCAGCTTCACAAAACAACGTAATTATGGAAGGTTTGATTTTTTTTATAGAATGACTGTAAAGGAGGCCCCTACAGCATAATTGTTGATTGGTGCAACAGACCCAAATTGCAACTACCATGTCTTGATCCTGGGTTGGTGGGAGGTCATCAGCCCCTTTCCATCACTAGGCTATGCTAGTGTGCTATGGAAGGTTTGATTAAGAGTGTCTTTTTTCCCAGGAAACATGAAGCTCATGGCCGGTCATTTAAATTATGCCCAATGAGCATACATCATGCAGAAATGAATATCCATTATCTGATAGCTTTATTATGTTATATAATGATAAAAGCTTGGATTCCATGAACCTATTTGCATACAGCAACACTTGAGTTATTTGTAGAGCTACCTTGCCCCTTAGATTACGTTGAATAAGAAGCTAAGTTGTACGGAACTTATTTGGCCAATCAAATTCATTTCACTAAAAAAAACTACAGTTGTAAGGAAATCTTATGTGAAGTTCCACGAATTTATTAGCAAAGCATATGGTCACAAGTATTAACTGAAAAGCACATTAAAGGCCAAATTCCTCAAAGAGAACTTGTGTGTTAGACACTGACTGGAACTACATAAATAACCAGGATAGTCCCCATTCCAAAATGTCTGCAATATAAGATACTGAAGATGCACAATGAATATGATTTTGAAAATGAAACTGCGCTAGTAGAGTAATTGATATGTGCTTGATTCGTGCGGTTATAGACAGGTGATATGCTCGTTAAAGAAACAGTTGCATACTTGCATGCTCTCATGGTGCCTATTTGAGTGTACTTAATTACCATCCAGGAGTAGGAATTCCTTGTTAAAATATTAATGACCCACTCAATATATTTTCTACTTTCAGCAACATCATCAGCTAACAAACAAAAAAAAAGCTCTGATGGGCTGTTAAAAGAACAGAGTAAAATGTGGGTATGTTGAGGAGCACATTCCGGATAGGGAAAAATACATTGTTGCACATGGTCATGTAGTTGATGTTATGTTTTTGCTGCGTAGCAAACAAGCTTTGATCGTACTTCCTCAAGCTCAATATCTTCCATATCATCATAACTTAACCATGAAGATAAGCAGAGATTAACAACATCTGTACCACTATCAATTGGTGCAAAGCCATCAGAATTTGAAAGTTGTCCAAACTTAAGTATCTTCCCTAGATTGGCAGCAGATGGTTCCTCTGCAAACTTCAGTAAGATGTCTTTCATTGCACTACACCAGATAGGCCGAGCCATCTCCAAGAAGGACGATAAAGTTGTAATAGCAAGCTTAACTTCTCCAACGTCAGTCTCGTCTTTCGTGCCTTTTCCATGAAAATCTGAACCTCCAAGCTTCAGAAGTCCATACTTCTCAGCTAATTGACTAAACCCTGAAGAGTTAATGCTAACGAAATAAGTATTTGGCATGTGATAGGAGTATCTCCTTTTATTTCGAATCACCTATTTATGTACTACAACTGTGCAAGCGACATACGTACCATCAACCTTCCCATCACTTCTGTAAACCTCCATAGCATGAAGACCAGCACCTTTCAAGGACCTAATGATGGCATCCGGATTCTTCAATGACCATGGGTGGGCTAATGCAGATATACCTCCAGTACGGCTAATCATCTGCACCACAGTTTCAGTAAATGGTTCACTCCCTCTGCAGAAAATACACGCACAGTTGTTCCCTAAGCATTTTTCTCAGCATGAAATGCTCAGTGGAATGAAGTATTACTTGTATGACTTACGTGGCATATGCAGGGCCATCATCACCAAGATACTTATTAAACGCTTGCCTGACATTATCTACATAACCTGCTTCAACCAAAGCCCTTGCAATATGGAGTCGACCAGGTGCCACTCCCTCACCAGCAATCTTAGTTACACGCTCCCACTTTATTGGCATCTTCAAACTGTTTAGCTTTGCCAGAATATTCTTTGCGCGTAGGTATCGCCCGTTTCTAATGTTCAAGAGCATGCTGTCCAACTCATCAAACCTTGATGGGCCACACATACCATAGTATGCAAGAATATGAACAGGTTCACCAGCGCCAGGAATTTCCCTTTTAGACAATAGTTTCAGGGGAAGTTAAGGCCCAAAGGGCAAAAGGCAACATATGTACAGTGAATGGCATAAAATACTGGCCAATGTATCGTTATTTTGACAGAAATCACTTATATCACGTCAGACAAATATGTTTTGACTTTTGATCAATGATCATCAGTAATATAAATATGACATACATGAAAGGAGCAAGGTGTTTCTAAAAGGATCATTTAAGAGGTGATAAATTTTGATCTATACAAACGACAATTCTTGGGATCAGCATTCTGTCCAGATAAAACAGCAAATGGCTGCTAATAAAAACTGATTTAACTCATATATTTCACTTTAAATGATACCTCTTTATGCAATAAGTGCACCAGCTCATGAGCAAATTTATCAATTTCAGGCTCTAGATTTATGGCTTTGCTGAGCGATAAGTAACATGAATAAACCCTCCCATACAGAAACAAGGTAGCTGCAACTTTGGACAATCATAGTTCTAAACGACGAGGGTATTTACGCAATATGCTGACTGATTTGTTGCATTGTAATGTTTTCTCTAAAAATGTATCACTGTATTGTTTATTTTCACTTTGAACATGAGAAATGCCTTTGTAAGCAAAGTAAAAAAGGCTCTTACCGTGGAGAATGTAGTGCACTAATTTCTACTCCAGGAATTATTCTTATGCCACATTTATGAGCTGCAGACATAGCTTCCGGTATACCAGCCATGGTATCATGATCTGTTAGGGCGAGAACTTTCACCTGCATACCGGCATTTATAATTTAATCATTCTTATTTTTCAACAATCAAAAGTGTGATACCATATAACAGTAACACTAAACCTGGCAGACATCCGTAACAGAAACATTGTGGAAATAAGATATATTGCACCCAGAAATGATCCATGAGAAGAAGAAAAATGGAATTAAACCAATTGATGTTTTCTGCTTTCTGAGAATAAAAAGTTAAAGACAACAATAATGCACATTGTGAACTACCTAACGCAGTCAGCAGATCACCACTTCAATTAATTTTGGTGGTGTCAGTGTGCCCATACCGCAGGCATTATCTCTTCTATTATCTTCTTTGTCTTGTCTTTTTAACTTTGATGGAATAACGCAATTATTGAAGGCCGAATAAAGCTTTGAGAGGACACACAGACTTTCCTCTAAGATGCTCCAGTACAGCATTTTAAACAAGTTAACAATACAAGCCTATGAGGCTTCTACTAACCAAAATCAAACCAATAGGCATGCTATACATGTGGCGAACGATCAGGAGACAATGCTTGTATTCGCTCAACACTGGAAGATTTGCAGATGGGATAATTTTCCAGGGAGAACCTACACGGCACAGGACAGAAAACGCTAGCCGAACCTCGCACGCATTTTCTCAAACACCTGCCGCGCAAGCAGAGGAGAGGATAGGGACCGACTAACCCCGTTGCGGTGGGCGCGCTCGACGAGAGCGGAGGGGGAAAGGAACCCGTCGCTATGGTTGGAATGGGAGTGAAGCTCAAACAGCACGTTGGCTCCGCCGCCGGAGGCCATGCGCGCGGCATGGGGCGGCAGGAAGCCGTCCGCGGCATCGGCCGTCGAGTGTTCCGGAGGGGGCGTGGGGTGCGCCCAGGCGCGGACGTAGTCGAGCGCCAGGGCCTGGTCAGCGCTGGTCTTCGCCTTCTTCCTGCCCCTGCTCGGCTTCGTCTTCTTCTTGGTTCCCATGGCAGGGTTTGGGAGGTTGGAGTGGGCCAAGCGGCTTCGGTCAAGGGGGAGGAAGGTGAGAGAAGAAAAGAAGGTTCTTTTGATGCTCCCGGGTCCCGGCTTGGCAAATAGAGATTCATCGGCCGTGTACTTTAAATTTGAATTTAATGATTTCGGTTTGTCTCGGATCCAGTTATTTTCATCTTACTTAATGTACTATACATGACATTACTGTTATTTTGGATGACCGGCCTAGCCCTCGGGCAGTCGCATTCCGCGCGTTCGTTGTGTTGTCTTTGATTCGCCATTCCCCCTCCCTCTGATATCGCCCCCCTCCCCCCATCACACCATCGAGCACGGTGCTTGCAGCATCACCTTCGTCGTCGAGGCACCGCCCACCGCCACTCGCATCCCTAGTCATCGCCATCTCGTTTGCAGCTCCTGCCCTGGACAAGTCGCCGCTCAACACGGGGCGACAGCAATTGCAGCTCGTCGCCCCATGGTTGCAGCTTCGGGTGCGTCGCCCATGTCATTGAGCTCTCTGCACATGTGCACGCCGCTTGCACCGTCGTCGTCTCCTGACCACCACTTCCACCATCGCGTCGGCCATTCCAAATCATTTCCATTTTTGATAAGTGAAATCAAACAAGCGATTCCATGCATGGTCAAGGAATCAAAATAGTCTTTTATTTTACTTTAAAAAAAGAAAGAAGACGCTTTAAGGAAGTTGAGGTGATGATGAGAATGTCGCGTGGTCATGCGAGGTGCCTGTGAAGTATGATTGCATATATCAATATCAATATCAAGGTTTGAGATTGCTAACAAGGCCTGCCGCCCGGTGATTGCTTTCACGTCAACACAGGGCTATTGTTGGGGAACGTAGTAATTTCAAAATTTTCCTACACACACACAGGATCATGGTGATGCATAGCAACGAGAGGGGAGAGTGTTGTCTACGTACCCTCGTAGACCGAAAGCGAAAGCGTTAGCACAACGCGGTTGATGTAGTCGTACGTCTTCACGATCCGACCGATCCAAGTACCGAACGCACGGCACCTCGGAGTTCAGCACACGTTCAGCTCGATAACGTCCCGCGAACTCCGATCCAGCAGAGCTTCACGGGAGAGTTTCGTCAGCATGACGGTGTGATGACGGTGATGATGTTGCTACCGACGCAGGGCTTCGCCTAAGCACTGCTACGATATGACCGAGGTGGGATATGGTGGAGGGGGGCACCGCACATGGCTGGGAGAGATCAATAGATCAACTTGTGTCTAGAGGTGCCCCCTGTCCTCGTATATAAAGGACCAGGGGGAGGAGGCGGCCGGCCAGGGGAGGGCGCGCCAGGGAGGAGTCCTACTCCCACCGGGAGTAGGACTCCCTCTTTTCCTAGTTGGAGTAGGAGGGGGAAAGGAAGGGAAGGAGAGAGAGAGGAAGAAAAGGGGGGCGCCGCCCCCTCCTTGTCCAATTCGGACTAGAGGGGGAGGGGGTGCGCGGCCTGCCCTAGTCTCCCCTCCTCTTCTCCACTAAGGCCCATATTGGCCCATTAAACTCCCCGGGGGGTCCGGTAACTCCCCGGTACTCCGGTATATGTCTGAAATTCCCCGAAACCATTCTGGTGTCCGAACTGTTGGGGAACGTAGTAATTTCAAAAAAATTCCTACGCACACGCAAGATCATGGTGATGCATAGCAACGAGAGGGGAGAGTGCGATCTACATACCCTTGTAGACCGACAGCGGAAGTGTTAGCACACCGCGGTTGATGTAGTCGTAAGTCTTCATGGCCCGACCGATCAAGTACCGAAACTACGGCACCTCCGAGTTCTAGCACACGTTCAGCTCGATGACGATCCCCGGACTCCGATCCAGCAAAGTGTCGGGGAAGAGTTCCGTCAGCACGACGGCGTGGTGACGATCTTGATGTACTACTATTGCAAGGCTTCGCCTAAGCACCACTACAATATTATCGAGGACTATGGTGGCAGGGGGCGCCGCACACGGCTAAGAATATGATCACGTGGATCAACTTGTGTTCCTCTGGGGTGCTCCTGCCTCCGTATATAAAGGCTCAAGGGGTGGGGTGCGGCCGGCCTAGGAGAGGCGCGCGAGGAGGAGTCCTACTCCCTCCGGGAGTAGGACTTCCCCCCCAATCCTAGTTGGAATAGGATTCGCGAGGTGGAAAAGAGAGAGAGAGAAGGAGGGGGCGCCGACCCCCTCTCTCCTTGTCCTATTCGGACTAGGGGGAGGGGCGCGCGGCCCAGCCCTGGCCGCCTCTCCTCTTCTTCCACTAAGGCCCACTAAGGCCCATATAGCTCCCGGGGGTTCCGGTAACCTCCCGGTACTCCGGTAAAATCCCGATTTCACCCGGAACACTTCCGATATCCAAACATAGGCTTCCAATATATCAATCTTTATGTCTCGACCATTTCGAGACTCCTCGTCATGTCCGTGATCACATCCGGGACTCCGAACAACCTTCCGTACATCAAAACGTATAAACTCATAATATAACTGTCATCGAAACCTTAAGCGTGCGGACCCTACGGGTTCGAGAACAATGTAGACATGACCGAGACACGTCTCCGGTCAATAACCAATAGCGGAACCTGGATGCTCATATTGGCTCCCACATATTCTACGAAGATCTTTATCGGTCAGACCGCATAACAACATACGTTGTTCCCTTTGTCATCGGTATGTTACTTGCCCGAGATTCGATCGTCAGTATCTCAATACCTAGTTCAATCTCGTTACCGGCAAGTCTCTTTACTCGTTCCATAATACATCATCTCGCAACTAACTCATTAGTTGCAATGCTTGCAAGGCTTATGTGATGTGCATTACCGAGAGGGCCCAGAGATACCTCTCCGACAATCGGAGTGACAAATCCTAATCTCGAAATACGCCAACCCAACATGTACCTTTGGAGACACCTGTAGAGCTCCTTTATAATCACTTAGTTACGTTGTGACGTTTGGTAGCACACAAAGTGTTCCTCCGGCAAACGGGAGTTGCATAATCTCATAGTCACAGGAACATGTATAAGTCATAAAGAAAGCAATAGCAACATACTAAAGGATCGAGTGCTAAGCTAACGGAATGGGTCAAGTCAATCACATCATTCTTCTAATGATGTGATCTCGTTAATCAAATAACAACTCTTTTGTTCATGGTTAGGAAACATAACCATCTTCGATTAACGAGCTAGTCAAGTAGAGGCATACTAGTGACACTCTGTTTGTCTATGTATTCACACATGTATTATGTTTCCGGTTAATACAATTCTAGCATGAATAATAAACATTTATCATGATATAAGGAAATAAATAATAACTTTATTATTGCCTCTAGGGCATATTTCCTTCAGTATCCCACTTGCACTAGAGTCAATAATCTAGTTCACATCGCCATGTGATTCAACACTAATAGTTCACATCACCATGTGATTAACACCCATAGTTCACATTGTCATGTGACCTATACCCAAAGGGTTTACTAGAGTCAGTAATCTAGTTCACATCGTTTATGTGATTAACACCCAAAGAGTACTAAGGTGTGATCATGTTTTGCTTGTGAGATAATTTTAGTCAACGGGTCTGTCACATACAGATCCATAAGTATTTTGCGAATTCTATGTCTACAATGCTCTGCACGGAGCTACTCTAGCTAATTGCTCCCACTTTCAATATGTATCTAGATCGAGACTTAGAGTCATCCAGATCTGTGTCAAAACTTGCATCGACGTAACTTTTTACGACGAACCTTTTGTCACCTCCATAATCGAGAAACATATCCTTATTCCACTAAGGATAATTTTGACCACTGTCCAGTGATCTACTCCTAGATCACTATTGTACTCCCTTGCCAAAATTAGTGTAGGGTATACAATAGGTCTGGTACACATCATGGCATACTTTATAGAACCTATGGCCAAGGCATAGGGAATGACTTTCATTCTCTTTCTATCTTCTGCCGTGGTCGGGCTTTGAGTCTTACTCAATTTCACACCTTGTAACACAGCCAAGAACTCTTTCTTTGACCGTTCCAATTTTTGAACTACTTCAAAATATTGTCAAGGTATGTACTCATTGAAAAAAAACTTATCAAGCGTCTTGATCTATCTCTATAGATCTTGATGCTTAATATGTAAGCAGCTTCACCGAGGTCTTTCTTTCAAAACACTCCTTTATGCTTTGCAGAATAATTCTACATTATTTCCGATCAACAATATGTCATTCACATATACTTATCAGAAATGTTGTAGTGCTCCCACTCACTTTCTTGTAAATACAGGCTTCACCGCAAGTCTGTATAAAACTATATGCTTTGATCATCTCATCAAAGCGCATATTCCAACTCCGAGATGCTTGCACCAGTCCATAGATGGATCGCTGGAGTTTGCACATTTTGTTAGCACCTTTAGGATTGACAAAACCTTCTGGTTGTATCATATACAACTCTTCTTTAATAAATCCATTAAGGAATGCAGTTTTGTTTATCCATTTGCCAGATTTCATAAAATGCGGCAATTGCTAACATGATTCGGACAGACTTAAGCATAGATACGAGTGAGAAACTCTCATCGTAGTCAACACCTTGAACTTGTCGAAAACCTTTTTTGCGACAATTCTAGCTTTGTAGATAGTAACACTACTATCGGTGTCCGTCTTCCTCTTGAAGATCCATTTAATCTCAATGGCTCGCCGATCATTGGGCAAGTCAATCAAAGTCCATACTTTGTTCTCATACATGGATCTCATCTCAGATTTCATGGCCTCAAGCCATTTCGCGGAATCTGGGCTCATCATCGCTTCCTTATAGTTCGCAAGTTCGTCATGGTCTAGTAACATGACTTCCAGAACAAGATTACCGTACCACTCTGGTGCGGATCTCACTCCGGTTTACCTACGAGATTCGGTAGTAACTTGATCTGAAGTTACATGATCATCATCATTAGCTTCCTCACTAATTGGTGTAGTAGTCACAAGAATAGATTTCTGTGATGAACTACTTTCCAATAAGGGAGAAGGTACAATTACCTTATCAAGTTTTCTACTTTCCTCCCACTCACTTCTTTCGAGAGAAACTCCTTCTCTAGAAAGGATCCATTCTTAGCAACGAATGTCTTGCCTTCGGATCTGTGATAGAAGGTGTACCCAACAGTCTCCTTTAGGTATCCTATGAAGACATATTTCTCCGATTTGGGTTTGAGTTTATCAGGATGAAACTTTTTCACATAAGCATCACAACCCAAAACTTTAAGAAACGACAACTTTGGTTTCTTGCCAAACCATAATTCAGATTGTGTCGTCTCAACGGATTTAGATGGTGCCCTTTTTAACGTGAATGCAGCTGTCTCTAATGCATAAGCCCAAAAAGATAGTGGTAGATCGGTAAGAGACATCATAGATTGCACTATATCCAAT